CAGAATAACTAAGACACTCCATTGGAATATAAAGAATATGTAAAGATCTGAATTTAGACCTCATTGCTTAATTTTTCTCAGAAAATTAAAGATGAAGAGAAACCCTAAGGATGTAGTGAGTGGCAGGACCTTTAGAATGTAATTATTGGGTTGGGTGCAGTGGCTCACACCTGTAATCCTAGCACTTTGGGAGGCTGAGGAGGGCAGATCATCTGAGGTCAGGAGTTCGAGACCAGCCTGGCCAACATGGTGAAACCCCATCTCTACTAAAAAAAAAAAAAAAATTAGTCAGGTGTAGTGGCAGGCACCTGTAATCCCAGCTACTTGGAAGGCTGAGGCAGGAGAATCATTTGAACCCAGGAGGTGGAGGTTGCAGTGAGCCAAGATCATGCCATTGCACTCCAACCTGGCCGATAAGAGTAAGACTGAGTCTTTAAATAAAAAAAAAGAACATAGCTGTTGAAGTATTAGAGGTGTGAGGGAATTTACCCATTTACCCATAATAATATAGAAATTAAAAGGTAGAAAAAAGAAAGCTGTCTATTTAGATTTTTTTTTTACTAATTTTATTATGAAAATGCTCTGAGGCTGGGCATGGTGGCTCACGCCTGTAATCCCAGCACTTTGGGAGGCCAAGGCCGGTGGATCACGAGGTCAGGAGATTGAGATCAGCCTGACCAACATGGTGAAACCCCATCTCTACTAAAAATACAGAAAGAATTAGCTGGACATGGTGGTGCGTGCCTATAATCTCAGCTACTCAGGAGGCTGAGCCAGGAGAATCACTTCAACCCGGGAGGCGGAGGTTGCAGTGAGCCGAGATCATGCCACTGCACTCCAGCCTGGCAATTGAGACTCCGTCTCGAAAGAAAGAAAATGCTCCGAGACACAGAAACAAAGAATACATTCTATAATGAACACCCATTTTACCCTCTACCTAGATTTGAAAATGTATAACTTTGCTTTGTTTTCCTATAAAAATTTTTTGCTATACCATTTGAGAGTTAACTTATAAACATCACGTCATTTTGCACCTAAATCAGTTTGTATCTCTTAAAATGGTAACACATATAACCAAAGTACTAAAATCACACCCTAAAACTTAACAATTCCATAGAATATTATGATATCCATTTCATGTTGAAATTTCCATAATTGTTCCAAGAATATATTTCATAGACATTTAACAAGGATTTACTCTCAGGATCACACATTGTAACATTTTGGCTGTTCTGTCACTTTTAAACGGAACTATCCCTCATCTTTGTTTCATCTTATTGGCTTTTAGAAGAGTCCATCACAGTTGTCTTAGAATAGCCTGGAGTCTGGGTTTGTCTATTTTATTTCTGTATAATATTGTTCCTCTTTCTCCTCTGTCTCCAAACGGAGACTTAAACAGTAGCTTGATTTGCTTCTGGTCATACATTGTTAGCAAGAACACTTCATAGGTATAATACAGTCTGTACACATAGGAGGCACATAATGGCAGGTTGTCCCTTTATTAGTGATGCTCCATTTGATCACTGGTTAAGGTAGTGACTGCCAGATCTCTCCATTGCAAAGGTATTCTATTTTCTTTGTAATGAGTAAGTAATTGGGTAATAATGTGCACCTCCTCTTACTAAACTTACAATCATCTACATATATAATACAAATCATGGATTAAACTGGAAATCAAAAGTTAAATATTGACTTAACAGAAAGCAGTGATATTGAAATGCCTACATATCGAAATTTGTAGGCTGTGACCAAGGCTCTATTCAGTGGTAAATTAACATCCCTTAATGCATACAGAAAACCACAATTCGGGGATAGGACATTTTGTTCTATGTATCCTCAGCACTATTGTGTGGCATAGGCCACACAGTTTAGCTGCACACGTGGTTAGGGGTCACCTAACCACCCAGTCCATTGCTCCCACTCCTGGCACTCAAGCAAGTCACCTGGAGGCCCAAGAATTGGCTACAGTGCCTCACACCTGTAATCCCAACACTCTGGGAGACTGACATGAGAGGAGCACTTGAGCCTGAGAGTTCAAGACCAGCATAGGCAACATGACAAGACCCCATCTATACAAAAAGAATTTGTTTTTTGAGACAGAGTTTCACTCTTGTTGCCCAGGCTGTAATGCAATGGTGCCATCTCAGCTCACCACAACCTCTGCCTCCTGGGCTCAAGCAATTCCCCTGCCTCAGCCTCGAGAGTAACTTGGATTATAGGCATGCGCCACCATGCCTGGCTAATTTTGTATTTTTTTTTTTAATTTTGTATTTTTAATAGAGACGGGGTTTCACCATGTTGGTCAGGCTGGCTTTGAACTCCCAACCTCAGGTGATCCGCCCACCTCAGCCTCCCAGAGTGCTGGGATTACAGGCATGAGACACCATTCCCCGCCACAAAAAGAATTTTTAATTAGCTGGGTGTGATGGCTCACGCCTGTAGTGCTAGCTATTCAGGAGGCTGAGATGAGAGGACTATTTGAGCCTGGGAAGTTGAGGCTGCAGTGAGCCATCATGGCATCACTGTACTCCAGCTTGGGTCAGACTGAAACCTTGTCTAAATACAAAAAATAAACAATCTGCCTGGACCCCTCTAACACCAGTGCCAGCATATGCTACTCTGGGACCAAAAGACAGGCATGCTCAGCCCGCTGCTGACAACACTGGGGCCTGAAGACTGGTCCATGTGGCTGGCATCCAAGTCCCAAGTAAAACTTCACCACGGCCTACACTGACAACAGTACCCTAAGCCACTGAGGAAGTCACAGAAACCAGTGATACTGTTTGTAGTTGAAGCAATCATACAGAGACTACACTACTTCATCCACCTAGAATCAAAGCCAAAGTGCCTATCTAACCAACACCACAGATACATCTTCAAGAAAAATTCCTCCCCTATGAAAGCAATTCAACACATTGGTGACTGTTACACCAGATGTGACGATATCCATGTAAGAACACAAGAAACATAAAAAAGCAAGAAAATATGACATAGCCAAGGAACACATTAATCCTCTAACAAAAGATTGCAACCCAAAAGAAATTTTTAAAATCTGAAAAAATAATTTAAAACATTTATCTTACTTTTATTTATTCACTTTGTAATGGGGTCTCACTCTGTCACCCAGGCAATCATGGTTCAATGCAGTTTCAAACTCCCAGTATCAAGTGGTCCTCCTACCTGAGTCTCTAGAATAGCTGGGACTACAGGCTCACATCACCACACTCTACCTTTTTTTTAAAAAAAATTAGAGACAAGGTTCTACTTATGTTGCCCAGGCTGGTCTTGAATTCCTGGGCTCAAGTGATTCTCTCCCCTCAGCCTCCCAAAGTGCTGAGATTACAGGTGTGCGCCACTCTACCCAACCAAAAATACTGATTTTAAAGAAGCTCAGTGGGATACAAGAGAATAATGAAAACAAATTAGAAAAAACAAATTAGAAAAAAATTCAGGATATTAATGAGATATTTACCAAATAGATATCATTAAAAAAAATTCTGGAGGTGAAGAATTCATTGAATAAAATATAAAATACATTCAAAAGCTTCAACAATACACTAGATCAACCAGAAGAAAGAATCTCAGAACTTGACGACAAGTCTTTTGAAATTACCCTGTCAGACAAAAAAAAAAATTAATGAAGAAAACCTACATGACATATTTGGACACCATCATGAGAACAAATATTAGAATTTTAGATGTTCCAGGAGACAAAGAGAAAACAAGAGTTGGAAAACCTCTTTAATGAAATAATAGATGAAAATATCCCAAGTCTAGCAATTGAACATGCAGTTTCAGGAGGCTCAGAGATCTCAAAATAGACACAACTTAAAAAGATCTTGCCCAGGGACAGCAGGTCACACCTGTATTCCCAGCACTTTGAAAGGTCAAGATAGGAGGAATTCAAGACTAGCCTGGACAACACAGCAAGACTCTATCTCTACAAAAAATAAAATAATTAGCTGGGTATGGTGGCACATGTACATAGTCCTGGCTATGCAACAGGCTGAGATGGAAGGACTGCTTGAGCCCCCATTAGAGCTCAAGGCTGCAGTAAGCTAGGATCATGTCACTAACACCAGCCAGGGCCACAGACTAAGACCCTTCCTTTTTTTTTTTTAATTGTACTTTAGGTTCTGGGGTACATGTGCAGATCATACAGGATTGTTGCATAGGTACACACATGGCAATGTGGTTTGCTATCTCTAAGACCCTGTCTTTAAAATTAAAATTTAAAATTTAAAAAAATTAATTTCAAATATGATACAGGTAAGTTAAAAGAGAATAGGAAAGACACACCATAAAAACACTAACCATAAGAGTGGCATTACTAATATCAGAAAATGCCAGTTTCAAAGAAAATCAGAACAGATTGTAAAATTATACAAAATTATGAAAAGGGCCTGGTACAGTGGCTCATGCCTGTAATTCCCACACTTTGGGAAGATGAGGTGGGCGAATCACTTGAGGTCAGGAGTTTGAGACCAGCTTGGTCAATATGGCAAAACCCCGTCTCTACTGAAAATACAAAAATTAGCCAGGCATGGTAGCACACGCTTATAATCCCAGCTACTAGGGAGGCTGAGGTAGTAGAATGGCTTGAACCCAGGGGGCAGAGATTGCAGTGAGCCCTCAAAAAAAAATTATAAAAAGATCAATTCACCAAGAAAACATAATAATCCTAAATGCTATGCCACATATATCAGAGTTTCAAAATACACGAAGCAAAAGCTATCAGAAAGGGAAGGAGAAACAGGAAGCTCATTATAGTTGAGAACTTTAATACATCTCTCTCAGCAATTGGGAATGCTTTCAAAGTTATAAAGCGCCTGGGAGGGGGGTGTAGGGAACAAATCAATGGTGCTGTCATGAAAATGCAGCCTCAGGGAAAAGATGAAGCCAACGTTTATTCTTTCTGTGAAACAGCAGGGCTTCTACCAATCTGTCATTTTTCCACAGCAGCCTCTTAGGGAGCACAAGAAAGAGAAGAGTCTATGGTGTGTCTTTTGTTTCATTTAATGAACCCTAATAAAATTCACAGGATACACAGAGTTTTCAAGAGAATTGTACTACTTGATGTACTACAAGTTTGAGCTTACAGGGCAGCAACACTATAAAGTGAAAAAGGACCTTTGGATTCCCAAATGTCTATAAATATGAAAGTAGTACTCAGTTGTAAACATGGCCTACTTTTTATGAAGAAAAGAAAAACTCAGCGTGACGCAGAACCAAAAGATCAGATGGCAGGGCAAGAGCCATAGAAAATCATTTCCAAGGAACTCTAATCAAGGAGCTGGTTATGTGCGCCTAGCCAGATTTCAGAATTGTTACAGATTAGCAATTTCCTTCAACTGTTTTACTTATAAACCTTTTGAATCTGAATGCTTATTATTCTATACCTGTTCCACTACTGAATGTGGGTGTGTCAAGGAACTATAGATTGAAGTTAGTTCACAATATTGTGGATTGAAAGGGCTCATACTCAAAGGATTATATTCCAGGAATTGAACTGCAGGAGGCTTATCCACATATGGACTTAATTTTTTTTCTTTCCAACTTTTAGGTTCAGGGGGTACATGTAAAAGTGTGTTACATGGGTAAATTGTGTGTTGCAGGGGTTTGGTGTAGATTATTTCATCACCTAGGTAATAAGTGTAGTACCTAAGAGGTAGTTTTTTTTATTCTCACCCTCCCATCCTCTACCCTTACTTAGTCCTGGTATCTACTGTTCCCTGCCTTGTGTACATGTGTACTCAATGTTTAGCTCCCACTTATAAGTGAGAACATGCTGGTTTTGGTTTTCTGTTCCTGTGTTAACTTGCTTAGAAGAATGGCCTTCAGCTCCATGTTGCTGCAAAGGATATTTTATTCTTTTTTGTAGCTGTGTAGTATTCCATATACATTTTATTTATTTAGCTAGATTTGATTTAGATAAGGTCCTAGACTTTAAATTGATGCTGTAATAGGATGAAATTTTGGAAGCCTGAGGGAAGCACATGAATGTATTTTCATGGTGCAGAATGTGAACGGTGGCTAGGAGGCAAAATGTGGCAGACTATATTTTTTAAGATGGATGCAACAATATTTCCCATCCCACATGGTCTTCCATAATATGTTCTTACCACTTTTCCATCAAGAGATGAACTCAAAATTCCCCTTCCTCTGAATTTGGGCTGGGTTTAAGTCTCACTAGTAACCATTAATATGCAGAAGTGATGCTGTCATACTTCCAAAGCTAGGTCAGAAAAAGCCAGCTTCCACCTGGTTCTCCTAGAATGTTCACTCCTGGGATGTCCATCTTGGAATAAACAAACATTCTGTGAAGAACCCATGACCATGTAGGTGTTCCTGCTGACAGTTTCAGCTAAGATTCGTATTTAAGTTGTCCAAGTCCAAAATTCAGGCATGAGAGAAAAGAAGCTTGGAAGTGGGTATTCCAGCCCTCCCTGGACTAGTCATTCAAATAATCCCAGCTGAGACTCCAAACATCATCAAGTAGAGATAAACCATCCCTGCTGTGTTCTCTCTGGACTTTTGACCCACAGAATCTACGAACATAATAACATTGTTGTCTCATGGCATGAAGTTTCGGGTGGCTTGTTATACAGCAATCATCAGAACACTTAAATCCTTCTCAAAAAGAACTCCTGGAAAGTTAGACCAAAAAGTAATAAAATGGCTTTTTAGAGGGAATTGATGGAACAGACTGTATGGGACACAAACTGATGCAACATTTCTCTGAGCACATTTTGTTTTATGGTTTTAATTTTAAAATCACGAAAACGTTATATAGTCTTTAAGAATAAAATTAAATCAGGCTGGGCGTGGTGGCTCACGTCTGTAATCCCAGCACTTTGGGAGGCCGAGGCGGGTGGATCACGAGGTCAAGAGATCAAGACCATCCTGGTCAACATGGTGAAACCCCGCCTCTACTAAAAATACTAAAAATTAGCTGGGCATGGTGGCACATGCCTGTAATCCCAGCTACTCAGGAGGCTGAGGCAGGAGAATTGCCTGAACCCAGGAGGCTGAGGTTGCGGTGAGCCGAGATTGCGCCATTGCACTCCAGCCTGGGTAACAAGAGCAAAACTCCATCTCAGAAAAAAAATTATAAATTAAATTAAATCAACTAAAAATGGCAGTCCTTGAACACTGAAAGTAAACAAATCAATCTAGCTCCAAATCGGGTTGGTTAGAACTAAGTAATTTCACTCCACATTCTTAGTGAATTATATTTGAAGGACAAGAGTGATGCCAAGAAATCTTCAACTTCATTCAGCATTCATTTTTGGTGGTAATGCTGGTATTATGTTGTAAGTATTTTATACTGCTTATTTATAAATCATAGCACATACATTATTTCCTTGTTAAAAACCAACAAGATTTTCAGGGGAAAAGCAAAAGATGCAAGAATAAAATTAAACTTAAAAATAATGTGGTATTAAATTTGAACTCAAAGTATCAATATGAACGCATAGTTTTTATTTTCATAAGTTAAAAAAACTTTTAATTGAACTACAACATACAGAAAAGTATAAAATGTACAACTCTATGAATTTTCACAAACTGACTACATCAGAATAATCAGCACCCAAATCAAGCAACAAAACATTACTAGCATCTACAGAAACCTCCCATTACTCTTTCCATCACTATCCCTCCTGCCATGTACCCCTTACCCCCCACATCCCCACCAGTATCCTGACTTCCAACTACATTAAAAAGTTCTAATTTTTTGTATTTCATATAATCATATAGTATGTCCTCTTTTACGTCTGGCTTCTTTGGCCCAACATTATGCTTTTGAGATTTATTTATTAGTCATAGGTTGTTCATTTCCATTGCAGAATAGTGCTGATTCAGAAACTTTTATTTCTGCAGAAAAGCAACAGTTCTATATTCCGAAAGCATAGATGACTTTAGAACATGATGCCACATCCAGGGAAACATACCTCACATCCATCTTCCAATACAACTAACTACCTGGCTTAAGGCCTGAATTTTTCACCTTTGCCATCAGTTGTTTTGGTTACAGCAGTTATCTGCTAAAATGGGTTCATATCCCAAACATACTCACAGGCATTGAGAGTGAGTTACATGGTAAAGGGTGCTTCAGATACATTAAGTTAAAAAAAAATCAATGAAACTCTCATTACTTCATTATTTGAAGAAGCTTACATTTTATTTTCTTAAACTGATTAATTCTAATATGCAGTACTTAGTATGCTCATTTAACCACAGAATGCCTTCTAAAACTACCATCAAGCATTAGTGTTTCCTGGGAAATGGTTTCAAATGCTATCAAGTTGCATAGTCCATTTCAGACATGGAATATAATGATGTGATACAGTGAACATCACGACTTCCCAATTATGGCAGCATATACAGTTCATAATGGATGACTACAGTGAAATCACTGAAGTCTGATATAATCATTTATAAGAACTCAGTATTAATTTTGAGAAGGTAATTTTTTTTTTATTTTTGAGACAGAGTTTCGCTCTTGTTACCCAGGCTGGAGTGCAATGGCGCGATCTCGGCTCACAACAACCTCCGCCTCCTGGGTTCAGGCAATTCTCCTGCCTCAACCTCCTGAGTAGCTGGGATTACAGGCACGCGCCACCATGCCCAGCTAATTTTTTGTATTTTTAGTAGAGACGGGGTTTCACCATGTTGACCAGGATCGTTTCGATCTCTTGACCTCATGATCCACCCACCTTGGCCTCCCAAAGTGCTGGGATTACAGGTGTGAGCCACCGCGCCCGGCCCTTTAGAAGGTAATTTTAAAGTGTTGGATTATACTTTTACATACATAAAATTCATTCCATGCTTAATACACAGAAAGCTAAAAAAGAAAAGAAAATCAGCAAGAATTGAGATGACACTGGGCCTGAATCATACCTCTTTTACTATCATTATGATGTACTGAAGGTAGAATGCCAAGAGTCTAAATATATAACTGAAGTCAGATGGATCAGGTCCAAGATATTCCACATAAATGATTTTCTCTTCTATACTTAAATAAACTGTTGGATACAATTTGCCACAGAAATTAGAATTACTAGATTTTTCTTCATACAGAAAATATCTAGATTTTGGTTTTGCCAGCCTTCTTCATCTAGTTCTTATAATTAGTTTTAGGTTAGTCTTATAGAGTAATGGTGGAAACATTTGGCAATTACCAATCCTTCAAAGATTTTACTTGTTAAAAAAATAGATTATCATTCTCTCTGAGCCTACTCTCACTCAGGAGTCTGCCCGATTAAAAAAAAAAAGTCAGATCCTAAATTATTCTTTTAGAAAGCATATCTTCTAACTATCTTAATTTTTTTGGTGGGGGGACAACAGAGTTCTCTTGTTGCCCAGGCTGGAATACAATGGTGCGATCTCCACTGAAACCTCCACCTTTTTTTTTGGGTTCAAGCGATTCTCCTGCCTCAGCCTCCCGAGTACCTGGGATTATAGACATGCGCCACCACACCAGGCTAATTTTGTTTTTTAGTAGAGATGGGGTTTCTCCATGTTGGTCAGGCTAGTCTGGAACTCCTGACCTCAGGTGATCCATGCACCTCAGCCACCCAAAGTGCTGGGATTATGGGCATGAGTCACCACACTTGGCCTAGCCGTCTTAATTCTTCCTTTACTTGTTGGTCTACTCAGGCTTTCTTCAGCATGCGAAGTCAATTGGAGTATATTTTTTCCACGGAATTCTGGATTTTCACAATTTAAAAATACATGTATAGTGTATGTATAAATATATATACCTACACACTACACACACACACACACACACACACACACATGTTACATATATACAGTATAGCAACTTATAACTTTAAAAATTCATAGCTGCTACTTTTATCATTCATATAGCCGTAGCTGTGTAATCTTTCATATTTCTATTCTGTGAAAAAAACTGCCAAGGTCTTGACTATGTTAGTATCCTTTAAAGAAACATACACAAAAAAGCCCTTTGGCTAACGTCTACTGTTTATTGTTTATGCCAGTGCTGACAATAGAAATATGTGAGCTACATATATAATTTTAAATTTTCCTGTAACACATTTTTAAAAAACAAAAAATAGTGATATTCATTTTAATGTATTTTATTTGAACCAATATGTCTAAAATATTTCAATATGTAGTCAATATGAAAAATTGAGATATTTAACTTTTTTTAAAATAACAAAGTCTTCAGAATCTTGTGTTTTACATTTAACACCATTTTAATTTGGATTAGCCATATGTCAGTGTTCAGTAACTCAACTTCAAGTGCTCAAAACGTTGCTAGTAATTATCAAATTAGACAGTGCAGGTCTAGTCCATTAATTTCCACATTAAGCAGTAGTAATTGCTTTATTTTACTCATTCTTTGAAGTGTGGGCTGAGTACAGTAGCTCACGCCTGTAATCCCAGCACTTTGGGAGGCCGAGGTAGGCAGATCACCTGAGGTCAGGAGTTCGAGACCAGCTTGGCCAACATGGTGAAACTCCATCTCTACTAAAAATACAAAAATTAGCCGGGCATGGTGGCACATGCCTGTAATCTCAGCTACTTGGGAGGGTGAGGCAGGAGAATGGGTTAAACCTGGGAGGTAGAGCTTGCAGTGAGCCAAGATCATACCACTGCACTCCAGCCTGGGTGACAGAGCAAGACTCTGTCTCAAAAAAAAAAAAAATACATACATATATATATATATATATATATATATATATATATATATATGAAGTGAGTACCATGGGTACTATAATACAGAGATAGAGAGGTGAACTAAATAAAATGTGGGCACACAATTTTAACTTCCTGAAAACATTATAGTCATTGTCATTTAATTATAGCCATTATCATGTAATTATAGCCAATCCCAATGTGTAGAGCTTTGGCAACATCCACAAGTTTTAATATGTAGAAATTTAAAAAAATCATCTTAAATTGGTTATAACTTCATGGCTAATTTGATATTTAAAAGAACATCATGGAAAATTTTAAATACACAAAAGTAGAAAGAATAGCAAAAACAAAACAAAAACCATGTAACCAAGACTTAGGTTACCATCATTTCCCCAAACTTGAGATTCACCCTCATTTTTCTTTCGCATGAAAAGGACATTCGATACATTATCTCCTGTGTATAAACTTCAGAAATTCTCTCTAACAAACAGACTTTTACATAACCACAATGCTATTATCACACATAACAAAAAGTTTCCTATTATCTAATATTGTCAATATTCCCATTCTCCCAACTACTGTAAATATGTCTTCTTTTACATTTTGTTCAACTCATGATCTAAGTAAAAACCACTCTTTCATTGCATTTGATTGATGTCTCAAGTCTGTCAATACCTAAGAGTTCACCTTATTTCTTAAAATGCTATTTTATTGGTTAGGAAACCAGGTCATTCCTCTTGTAGAATTACTCTTATTTTAGACTTAATTGTTCCTTTTTGTGTCATGTAATTTACTCCTGCATTTCTTGAATTTTCTCTAAACTGGGAGTTAGATCTTGAGGCTTAAATTCAGGTTCAATATTTTTGGCAAGATGTGTATATCTTACTGTATCACATTAGGAGGCAAGTAATTTTTATTGTCTTTTTTGTGAAGTTAAGATTATCAGTTCAGATGTTGTCAGACTGATCTATTCACTGTAAAGTCCACAATCTTTCACTGAATGGTCTCAACCTCTAGATCCAGTATTTCATTATATATTTCACTATAGCTTTTATAATACCATTTTCTATTTCTATTATTCTTTCTGCATTCATTAGCCTGAAATTTTCTAATAAAGAACTTTACCTCATTAGCTTCTGTTGCCTTGAAATACAGTTCACGCAGGAAATGCAGACTAAACAATTTTCCTTTCATTTACACATTTTCAGAATGAGGTGGTTTCCTAGAAAACTCCATGTATATACTACACAGATGGAAGAATATGGAGATAATAATAGGTAAGATCAAAAGCTTTTCCATATTCACTCCTTTAATAAAGTTCGTTTTTAGGATGAATGTCCTGAAGTTTAACATAGTTTCAAAGGTGATGAAAGTTTTCTATATGTTCATTAACATATTCTTTCCTTTAAATAAAACTTCCTATGCTAAGTTAGTTTTGAGCATGAAGCAAAAGGGAGTCCTACATTGAAAAACCTTTCCTCTAGAATTTACTTCCTATGCTCAACATAAAATTCACAATGGAAGAGTTCTAATAATTATTAAGTTACATTATGAATTCGCTGATGGTAAGTAAGATGTGAATGCTGTCTAAATGCTTTTTTACATTCCTTACATTTGTATGGTTTCTCACCTGAATGAATTCTCTGATGTTGAATCAGTGATGAATGAAGTCTAAAGGACTTTCCACATTCCTTACAGTCATAGGGCTTTTCACCAGTATGAATACTTTGATGTTGAGTAAGTTGTGAAAGCAGTCTAAAAGTCTTCTCACATTCTTTACACTTATAGGGCTTCTCACCAAAATGAATACTCTGATGTTGAGTAAGCTGTGAGAACAGTCTAAATGCCTTCCCACATTCCTTACATTCATAAGGTTTCTCTCCAATGTGAATACCTTGATGTGAAATAAGTTCTGAGTAACGACGAAAGAACTTCTGACATTCCTTACATTCATAAGGTTTCTCACCAGTATGTATTCTCTGATGGAGAGTTAGATGATAGCCACGACTGAAAGTCTTCCCACATTCCTTACAATCATAAGGCTTCTCACCAGTGTGAATTCTCTGATGGAGAGTAAGTTGTTGCCGCACCCTAAAGGCCTTTCCACACTCCTTACATTCATAGGGTTTTTCACCAGTATGAAGTTTGTGATGTATTCGAAGGCCTGTACTACACAGAAAAGCCTGACCACATTCCTTACACTCATAGCACTTCTCAGCAGTGTTAAGTCTCTGATGGCGAGTAAGGTGTGCATACTGTCTAAAGGCCTTCCCACATTCCTTACATTCATAGGGTTTCTCACCAGTATGAATCCTTTGATGGAGATTAAGTTGTCCTCTAACTCTAAAGGCTTTCCCACATTCTTTACATTCATACGGCTTCTCACCAATATGAATTCTCTGATGTACTCGAAGGTCTGAGCCACATGTGAAGATCTTTCCACATTTTTTACATTCATAGAGTTTGTCAGAAGTATGAATTCTCTGATGTCGACTCAGGTGGGCACACTGTCTAAAGGCTTTTCCACATTCTTTACATTCATAGGGTTTCTCACCAGTATGAATTCTTTGATGGAAAGTAAGTTGTTGTCGTACTCTAAAAGCCTTCCCACATTCCCCACATTTGTAGGGTTTCTCTCTATTATGACTTTTCTGATACAGAGTAAGAGATGTGAGTTTTCTGTAAGTGGGCATTTTTTCAGAAGTGGCTTTTGTCACTTGTCTGAAACATACCTCATGAGGGCTTTCTTGTCCTTCAAGTCCACAGGTAATTCTTTCCATTACCTTCCACTGAGATAAATTCATTTCATAAATATCCTTTTCTTGAAATAACTTTTTAGTGTCATATCTGGATTCCAAATCTGAAAGAAAACAAGACCAAAGCATATTTTCCTGTTCTAGACAAATAAGCAAATAAAAAAATTTATAATAGAAATCAATGCCAAAAAAAAAGAAAGCCCAATTGAAGTAAATGAGCACAACGTATCTAAAATAGGTAATTTAAAAGAAGCTAAAAGGAAAATGATGACTTAAGACCAGATTATTTGGGTGGAGATCAAAGTTTGAGACTCCCCACTTAAATTTTTTAAGTTTTCTTTGCAATTAGAACAAAGAGCAAATACTTTATCCTGAGTAACATAGACTCTGTTTACCACAAGGGTATCAACTCAAGCCACTGTCCCCTTTGCTGTCCCTGACCCTATCATACTTGCCTCCTTTCTGCTCCTAGAATATGTCACAATCTTTTTTTTTTTTTTTTTGAAATGGAGTCTCTGTTGCCCAGGCTGGAGTTCAGTGGCAGGATCTTGGCTCACTGTAACCTCCGCCTTCCAGGTTCAAGTGATTCTTCTGCTTCAGCCTTCCGAGTAGCTAGAATTACAGGAGTGCACCACCACGGTAAACTAACATATTTTTAGTAGAGATGCTAACATATTTTTAGTAGAGATGGGGTTTCTCCATGTCGGCCAGGCTGGTCTCAAACTCCTGACCTCAAGTGATCTTCCCACCTCAGCCTCCCAAAGTGCTGGCATTACAGTCATGATCCACTGCACCTGGCCCAATCTTTCCATTTCTTGGAGTTTTTCACTGGCTATCAAATCTCCCAGGAATCTTGACTTGGGTTTGCTTGGTTGGGTTTCTTTCATCTACCAGGTTTCATTTTAAAAATCAGAAAAATGATTCCTGCTGACTTCATGTAATATATATTATTTGTTCTCTATCCCAGTCATTTATTTTTTAATTTTTTTTAGATGGAGTCTTGGTCTGTCGCCCAGGCTCAAGTGCAGTGGTGTAATCTTGGCTCACTGCAATCTCTACTGGGGTTCAAGTGATTCTCATGTCTTAGTCTTCCAGGTAGCTGTTATTACAAGTGCCCACTGCCATGCCTGGCTAATTTCTGTATTTTTAGTAGAGAGGGAGTTTCAGAGTATTGGCCAGGCTAATTTCAAATTCCTGTTCACCCGCCTCAGCCCCCCATAGTGCTGGGATTACAGGTGTGAGCCACCATGCCCAGCTACTTATTTCTTCTTAACATTTTTCTCAATTATGTTGTTATTCATTAATTTCCCCATTTACTATTATCTTTATTTTCTTACTTTAAACTTCCCCAAGGGGAGAAACGATTTTTCACTCACCAGTGAATAAAGCCACAGTTCATGTTAACTGTGAATTAAATTCTCATAATTAGTTAACAATCATGGAATATGATGTCCTGCCTCCAATCTTAAACCTTACCATGGTAATTAAATATTCTCTTTTTATCACTTCCTATAGAGATGGGAAACAAGCACATCTAAGTTATCTCAGTAAAATATATAAATAGAAAATAGTGATTTCTTTATACTTGGCCATCCTTCCAATTGCCCCTCCATTTATACTTACAGGTATCTCCACTGCAGTTCAATTCCTACTTTGTATAGTCTTAAGTGAACTCTGACCCCCTTTCACAACCAAGGTAATGAGAGACTCTAAGTATTTATCTTCACTTGGGTTTACATAACTATGCACATCTATGTTTTGTTTTTTTTTTTTGAGACGGAGTTTCGCTCTTGTTGCCCAGGCTGGAGTGCAATGGCGCAATCTCGGCTCACCGCAACCTCACCTCCGCCTCCTGGGTTCAGGCAATTCTCCTGCCTCAGCCTCCTGAGTAGCTGGGATTACAGGCATGCGCCACCGTGCCCAGCTAATTTTTTGTATTTTTAGTAGAGACACGGTTTCACCATGTTGACCAGAATGATCTCGATCTCTTGACCTCGTGATCCACCCGCCTTGGCCTCCCAAAGTGCTGGGATTACAGGCTTGAGCCACCGCGCCCGGCCCTATGCACATCTATGTTACAGGTTCCCCATATCTTCCCTAAAGTCCCTATAATGCCATTTGGGTACTTCCTAAAGAATATCTCAATGATTTTCCAGGTGTAATGACAGGTTTATACTAAAGTAAAAGGCTATCAAAATTCTGAGGAAACAGATGTTTTTTACAAATGTGTATGTTCTCAAAATTTTTACAATAAGAATTCAATACTTTTTAAAAAGGAAAAGGTTAGGATCAGGGTTAGAGTTAGGGTTAAAGCAAAATTATTTGTAATATGCCCAAACAGGAAAGAATCCAAGTGTTCATCAATGGAAGAATGGCTAATAAATGATGGCATGTTAACACAACACAATACTATATAGCAATGAAAATGAACAATCTACAACTACATGCAAGCAAGGACTAATCTCACAAAAATAATGATGAATAAACAAAACTAGACATAGAGCAATATATACTGTACAACTGCATTTTTATAAAGTTTAAAAATGATAATTAATCTATGGTGGTGTCAGGATATCAGTTAGCCTTAGTGGGGAGCAATGACTGGAAGAAGTCAGGAGGGGTTTCTGTTATCCTACTAAAGCTCTATTTCTGAATCTGTGTACTAATTAGATGGGTATGGTCACTTTGTGAAAATTCACTAATAATCTGTTTATTTTTGTGTGTATTTACATTTCAATAAGTTTGCTTTTAAAGAGTATACACTAAAAAGATGCTAAAAAGCAACAATAATATAAATGGTGTGGGTAAAATGTGACCAGGGACAGGTAAATTAATGGAACAGAAAATACTGCAATAAAATCTGTGTTTCCCTCTCTCTGTCTCCCTACCCAAAAAAAGCAATACAAAACTATGCAATTGTCAAGAATTCTGGGAATAAAGTTCATTTATGGCCTCAATAAGACAAATAAGATATGAGTGACATTAATAAAAGCATCATAATTAGCTAAATAATGGTAGTAAATAAGTAAATAGTTATGAAGTTATAACAAAGGTTAAGAGAAAGATGGTCATTTCAAAGGATTTACCTGCAAATTGAAAATTAAAACCAGTAATCTAAAAGGAAAGCCCGTCAAAAATCAAATTAAAGGCTAAAATATTTATAAGAAAGTGAGAAAGTGTTACTGCTCATAGCATTAAAGTCCACACAAACTGAGCACCATGGCTCCCACCTGTAAGCCCCAACTACTCGGGGAGGCTGTGGTGGGAGGATCACTTGGGGTGGAAGGATTATTTGAGGCCAGGAGGTCAAGACCAGCCTGGACAACATAATGAAACCCCAATCTCTAAAAATTAAAAAACTTTAAAAACATTTAAGCCCATACAAATTGGCATAAGAAATAATAAACAATGGAAAAGGTAACGCAATAAAGGAAGTGAGCAGACAACACACAAAATAAATAAAAGCATAAACAAATTAGGACAAAATGTCTGTATTTACTAAGAATGAAATCAGAACAGGCTGTAAAATTTATCCTGTAAAATTTGAAAGTTTTCATTAAAAAAAAAAAAAAACATGGCTGGGCATGGTGGCTCATGCATATAATCCTAGCACTTTGGGAGGCCAAGGAGGGCAGATCACCTGAGGTCAGGAGTTTCAGACCAGCCTGACCCTGACCAACATGGTGAAACCCCACCTCTACTAAAAATACAAAAATCACCCAGGCTTGGTGGCAGGCACCTGTAATCCCAGCTAGTCAGGAGGCTGAGGCAGGAGAATCACATGAACACGGGAGGCAGAGGTTGCAGTGAGCCAAGATCACGCCACCACACTCCAGCCTGGCAACAGAGTGAGACTCCATCTCCCAAAAAAAGAAAAAAGAAAGAAAAGAAAACAAACAAACAACAACAACAAGAACACATTGCCAGTGCTGATAAAGTGAAACTGAGATGGTCATATATGGCTCCCTACTTAAGTGACAAGCCAGATCAAGATCTTGGCATGCTGAACATTCTCAATTAGGAGGTGGCTCTATAATATACGCAGCTGAGCTACATGCTACCAAAGAGTCAGCCATGTTTGTTCCCAAATTTGCCTATTCCAGTTCTTACTGCTGCAAGCAACTAAAATTATTAATGTCTAAAGATAATCATTTCTAAGAAAACTAAGTTGGATGTTTTGGAAGTATTGGCTATACATTCACATTACATTTTTGTCAAAGTAGGCATGGGTGAGAAAATAATAAAAGACAGAAAACATAAAAAATCAAGGATTCTGCCCTCAGATTGCTTCACAAGTATCTTTATACTCCTGTTCTACTTCAAAGAAGTTCAAACTGGAAAGAACAGCCGATGTTTCACATGTCATGATTTTAATCATGACAGAATGGGCTAGACTTACACTGAAACAAAATGCTAAGCCAAACATCAAAAGATTGCGCTATGATAGACAATTTTAATGTTCTATCTCCTAAAACATGTATGTAAAATATACAAGTGTACAAAATTAATAAGCCAAATACTAGTTTGGATTCTACTGAATCGAAGAGTTTATTCTCGTAAACACTGATAATGTAAAAATAAAACATTAATCATGTTAGATCAAAATGAAAGAAATGTTATTTCCATTTGCAGGGCATCAGCTTTAATTAAAAAGAAAATAGGGGTAGGGTGTGGTGGTTCACACCTGTAATACCAGCACTTTGGCAGGCTAAGGCAGACAGATTGCATAAGCCCAGGAATTCGAGACCAGCCTGGGCAACATGGAGAAACCCCGTCTCAAAATAAAATAAAATAAAAATAGGGAGGAAATTATTTTATCATATAATTCTCCCCAAAAGTATGCTGCTTCCAGAGGTATAATGTCTCCCCCACCCACCTTTTTTTTTCTGGCTACTACAAAATTATACAGAATACAGAATATTTATGACCAAGACAATTCTATTAAAATCAGAGATCTGAAAACATTAAAACCCTGTGACCACAAAATTGTAATTGTGAAAATTAACACTCATCTAATATTGCATAATCCATACTGAATTCCAAGAAGAAACTGAATAATCCTCATGTTCAGATGATAATCTACTCCTGTTTCAGCAAAGAACCAGACGCAACTGAAAGCAAAATACGTATTTTCCTCTCCATCACATTCTCCAAAGAAAAATATGCATTTTCCTCTCCATCACATTCTCCAATCAATCTATGTCTGTTTATGTCTCCAATCAATCTACCATATGTGTGGTTTTCCTTCCTCAACTGGTTCCACTCCTTCCCATCTACTGAAGGTCACTGCTTACAAAACTATCCTCTCTCCACTTCATCAATGTTCCTCTCTTTGAAATCATTCTGGCGAGCCTATAAACATGTTGTAATACCTCACATCATAAAATATATTCCCTGTATTCTATGTGTCTGCTTCCCTTTTATGGTAAAATTCATCGAAAGAATAGTTTAAATTTATTTTCACCAACATTTTCTTTTTATCTCTCAATAACTCTAAAACAAACAAACAAAACCTTTATAACAGAGCTCTTCTAAAACATCAAAAAATAGATCGAACAGCGTAATAAATCTCCATGTATTCAGCACCAAACATTAGCCCCAGCCCCAATCATGGCCTATGTATCCCCCAGTCTACTTCCTTCATATTATTTGAAGCAAATCTTGGCTATTACATCATTTCATGTGTACATAATATTCATCTCAAAAAGCACTTTTACACATAAGCACAATACCATTATCCAAACCTAAAAACTGAATTACTCAATATCAAAAAATCAGTGTACACACTTCCATTTGTCTGATAAAATTTTAAACAACCTAAAAAGAATGACTCATCCAAACAAAGTTCACAGAACATAACTATTGACATGTCTTTTACATCTCTTTTAATCTATAGGTTTTCCTATCATTTTTTTTTTATTTCCCATGTAATTTATTTTTTGAAGAACCTGTTTTTGGTCCTGTAGTGTCCCATATTCTGAATTTTGCTCATTACATTTCCAAGGTGTAAACGTAGTCCTCTATCTTCTTCCCATATGTTGGGAACAGGCTTTAGAAGCTTGACAAGACTTAGGACCTTTTGATGGCAAAGTTACCTCATAGGTGATACTGTGTTCCTTCATTGGCAGAAACAATGTCAGATTGCCTCTATTTCTGTGATGCTATCAGCACTGAGGTTCAATATCTAAATCTAATTGTTCTTATGGGTTCCAAAATGGTAATATTCTATCATTCTTCTTCATTTATTCACTGAATACTCTTTTTTTTTTGAGACGGAGTTTCACTCTTGTTACCCAGGCTTGAGTGGAATGGCGCGATCTCGGCTCACCGCAAACTCTGCCTCCTGGGTTCAGGCAATTCTCCTGCCTCAGCCTCCCGAGTAGCTGGGATTACAGGCACGCGCCACCATGCCCAGCTATTTTTTTGTATTTTGAGTAGAGACGGGGTTTCACCATGTTGACCAGGATGGTCTCGATCTCTTGAGCTCGTGATCCACCCGCCTCGGCCTCCCAAAGTGCTGGAATTACAGGCGTGAGCCACCGCGCCCGGCCCTGAATACAATTATTAAGAGCAACATATGGCCAGCATGGTGGTTCACACGTGTAATCCTAGCACTTTGGGAGGTCAAGGCAGGTGGATCACCTGAGGTCAGGAGTTCAGGACCAGCCTGGCCAAAATGGTAAAATCCCGTGTCTACTAAAAAAATACAAATACTAGCTGGGTGTGGTGGCGGGCACCTGTAATCCCAGCTACTCAGGAGGCTGAGACAGGAGAATTGCTTGAACCTGGAATGCGGAGGTTGCAGTGAGCTGAGATCATGCCATTGCACTACAGCCTGGGCCACAAGAGTGAAACTCCGTCTTAAAAAAAAAAAAAAAATGAGAAACATATCTCCATCTACTACCTATTCATACAATTCTTCTAAGAAAGAAAGGTAGGATAAATGCTTCTTTTCCTTTAAATTTATGCTTTTTAAATGTTAGTTTCTAGTAACTTCCAATGATGAATAATTTGCTATATCATTAATAATTCATAAAATTAAGTGTATTTTGTGCATTGTTAACACATTGCAGTCATTATATGTATTGATGGTCAAACAGTCCCATATCTGGCCAACTGGAGCCTCTTCAAATTGGCTCCTCTTCCCTGACCACCCCATGTTGGCGTCACCACCTGCAGGGATCTGTCCTGCAGACCCTGATGATGGATAAATAAAGTACACTGACACACAGATATTATGCTTTTCCAGTTCGGCTGAGGGTCTGTGGCTGCTTATAGGCTCCCTGGAGAGTGCTGTATACAGTTGCAACAGCCAGCCCCTACCAGCCAGAGAGACTTGAATTTCTTGAGTAAAGTTTAATTGACAAAGGCTTGAGTCTATACCACAAGAGTGAAGAGATTTAAGGACAGGTTCCCATACACAAAGCAAACACCGTTAGAGGGTAATATCCCTGGTTGACCTTTCCTAGAGAGGGCCATCCAGCTCAAAGGTTAGTTTTAAGACCACAAGAGTAAACAAGTTAGTTAGGTAAACTCCCCTACATACCCTATTTGCTTTAGTTATTAACTAAATGTAAAGGGGGTTCAGGCTGCCTTCAGCCAAGAACTACAGAAAAAACACTTAGGCCTTCCAAAAGGGTTTGAGACTATATTCTATAACTTTCTCTAATATTTTTCTCTTAATATATTTTGCCACCACCCTGAGTGAATTCTCACAACCCCATCTAAAATTACTCCATTCACTCATTATAATTCTCCACATCCTTACCTTACTCACTTTTCTTTGTAACACCCAATTACTTGAGGATATTTTAGTAATCTATTTACTGATTTATTTACTTGTTTACTGCAGATTCCTCACTACAATGTAAACTCCATGAACAGAGGGCAATGAAAAAAATATATACATAAAAGTCAAAATACAAAAGATGAGCTAGAAAGGGATTAGATCCAAAATACAGGTTAAATGAAATCACTAGGGAAGAAACTTTCCCCTACTGAAATAGAGTAAAGAAAAGGGAGGGAAACAAGACAGAAGAGAAACAAGTGATAAATGGAAGTATGAATGAAATTTCTTTGGTGGCTAATGCTGAGAAGATCTAAATTTTCTTCCAAGGTTTCAGGTCTCTTCTTCACAATCGACATCTAAGGTGTATGTCTCCTTCCCAAACAGCAGGTCTGGCCATGCCACAATGGCTGACCTCTGACTGATCAACACTTACCTAGGCTCCATCTTCTCTTCTCATCCCTCTCAACCAACCAGGGCTCTTTCCCTTGTTCCAGTAAGGTGATCACATCTGGTTTAGAAATGGAACATCCTGCTTAAAAGCAAATAATAGAACATAATAAAGAACTTATTTAAGACTTCAAACAAAAGGTGACTATCACAATTGAAAAACATTCGTAGTATAGAGTTAACTTTAGGATCACAAGGAAAAACAAGAACAGAGAAGTAGGGACCTGGTCTTATTTTAATTTAAACTTATACAGGCTCTGTCTCTTGAGAGAAAAGAATAGTTGAAAGCACTTGTTTCAAACCCTGCCTCTGTTTCCTATGTAAGTAGAGCAAATAATTCAACCTCTCTGTGCCTCAGTTTTCTCAGATGCAAAAAGGGGATAACAGTAATGTGTACACATAGCATTGTTGTGAGATTTGATTTAATGTAAGTGTTTAGACGAGTGACTGGTACATGTTAACCATTATATATGTTCATGCGGTACTACATTTGCTATTTTTTAAAATATTATTTTACTAACTGGAAAATAAGTTTCTTGTCAAAATATGCATGCTGTTACATGCAAATTCATGTATTTTAAACTTAATCACAAGCAGTTAAAATATGTCTGTTGGCCGACTGCAGTGGCTGATGCCTGTAATCTCAGCACTTTGAGAGGTCAAGGTGGGCAGATCACAAGGTTAAAAGATTGAGACCATCCTGGCCAACATGGTAAAATCCTGTCTCTACTGAAATAGAAAAATTAGCTGGGTGTGGTGGCACACGCCTATAGTCCCAGCTCCTCGGGAGGCTGAAGCAGGAGAATAACTTGAACCTGGGAGACAGAGGCTGCAGTGAGCTGAGATCACGCCACTGTACTCCAGCCTGGCAACAGAGCAAGACTCCATCTCAATAAATAAATAAATAAATAAATAAGTAAATAAGCATGTTGTAGGAAATTGAATACTGTCCACTTAAGTTTTAACAAACTGTCCATTCAACCCAACATCACATACATTGTAAAAGCTCTTTTAATAGCTCTGTAGAGCCAGACACCTCTGTCTTCCCATTCTCACTGTAAATGAGTTCATGAATAACATGGACCATCTATAGCAGTATGAAATCAGATTTGACAATGGTTTTGCCATGAGTGTCTAAGAATTCATATCCAGCTGTCATTAAAGAGCAGTAATAACAGAAATGTCAAAGAATAATGTAAAGGTCACCAAACTATAGGGAAAGATGAAGGCGCTTAATAGTGGTACCTACTGTCAAGCCACAAAGTAGATATTTAGCTAGTTTTCAGAAAGACAGCCCAAAAATTCAGTCCTGTGAATGTGTAAGTTATCTGACACAGACAGGCTTACCTAGTGACACCAAGTTGCTATAGTTCTCTAATATCACATCTCTGTACAAATTCCTCTGATATGAATTCAGGCATTCCCACTCTTCCTGAGAAAAGTCTACAGCCACATCTCTGAACATCACCAAATCCTGAAATAATAAACGCACATATCATTTGTAAGATAAATGAAAATATTTTGAAGATGGAAGAGGTGGCTGGGTATAGTGGTTTAATGCCTCTAATTCCAGCACACTGGGAGGCTGAAGGAGGAGGATTGCTTGGGGCCAGGAGTTTGAGACCAGCCTAGACAACACAGCGAGACCCTGTCTCTTAAAAAAAAAAAAAAAGTGGTCTGGGTGTGGTGGTTCATGCCTGTAATCCCTGCACTTTGGGAGGCTGAGGCAGTTGGATCACTTGAGGTCGGGAGTTTGACCTCATGTTCCTCCATGACCAACGTAGAGAAACCCCGTCTCTCCTAAAAATACAAAATTAGCCAGGTGTGATGGTGCATGCATGTAATCCCAGCTACTTGGGAGGCTGAACCAGGAGAATCGCTCTGGGAGGCAGAGGTTGCAGTGAGCCAAGATTGTGCCGTTGAACTCCAGCCTGGGCAACAAGAGTGAAACTCTGTCTCAGAAAAAAAAAAAAAAGTGGAAGAAGAATTTCGATGATACATACATGTTCACTTCATTCATTAAATAAACAGACTGGGGCTGGAAGCCTATGAGGTGGGAAGGTGGCAGTAAAGGTGTGAGTATGACTAAAGCAGAGTATCTATATGTTCTTAAAGATTTCTATAACAAAAGACCAGGGTTTGGCAACATTTTCTGTAAAGGACCAATATTTTAGGCTTTGCACACCACATATGGTCTCCATTCCACATTCTTCTTTTTTTAATGTAATAATTACTTAAAAATGTAATTAGCTTGCAAGCTGGTCCAAAACAAGCCATAGTTTGTGGGCCAAATTTGTAGTATATGTAGTTTGCCCACCACTGCTATGGCCAAAACTTCCTATGTACCATGGAACAGGAGATAATTTTATTTATTTCCAGACACATTCAGGTAATTATCAGGATTTCTAAACTAACTGAAATAGGTTCATAGGAACACTACTTGCAAAGGACCTAAAAAGTTCTCAATAAATGGGATTTATTCTATTCTCTTTTCCTTTAAAGATAAAAAATAATAATATTTGCTGGGATTTTCCCCAAAATATGAACTCTATTTTTAAAAAGTAGAGTTTGCATAAAATTTAACAATTTCTTCCAGATGAAATTTTATCATTATAATGTATCATTAGCATTTTTATTATAACAGACCCTTTATTTAATATTTATAGTTTACTGCATGATACAGTAGTCCACCCTTACTCATGGTTTTACTTTTCTCAGTTTCAGTTACCCATGGTCAACCATGGTCGAAAAATATTAAATGGAAAAATTCAGTTGCATTCCATTCTGAGTAGTATAACAAAATCTCACACTAACCACTCCGCCCCACCTGGGATATGATATTCTTTCTCCAGCATATCAACGCTGTATATACTACCTGATTATCAGATCAAACTAACATAGTATATATAGGGTTTCATACTATCTGAGGTTTTCAGGCATCCACTGAGGGTCTTAGAATATATTCCCCTTGGGTAAGGGGGACTCCTGTACTCCATCTGATCGATATGTTATACTGAATAATTATTATATTTAGATATAGCTATACTTTTAAATATACTATATTTAGAATTTACATTACAAAAAATCTCTAAAGCTACCAATGTCCAATATTCTAGTGTAGCAATATGTGGATACTGAGCACTTGAACTGGGGCTAGTCTAAATTCACATATGCTGTAAATGTAACATATATGCAAGATACCAGATAGTGAAAACTTTGGAAGAAAAAAAATAAGGTAAAACATATTGATAACTTTTATGTATTTTTTTGTTTTATCTTGGTTTTGAAACAGGGTCTCACTCTTGCATACAGGTTGAAGTGGCATGGCACAATCACAGCCCATTTATTGATCACAGCTCACTGCAGCCTCGAACTCCTGGGTTCAAGCAAATCTCCCACTGCAGCCTCCCGAACAGCTGAGACCACAGGCATATGCCACCATATCTGGCTAGTTTTTGTTTTGTTTTGTTTTTGCAGAGATGGGATGTTGTTAAGTTGCTCAGGCTTGTCTCAAACTCCCGGGCTCAAGTAGTCCTCCTGCCTTAGCCTTCCAATTCCAAAGTGCTGAGATTATAGGCATGAGCTACCACTGTCAGGGCCTGGCCATGACTTTTACATTATACTTTGAAATAATATTTTGGCCATATTGGGTTAAATAAAAGACATTAAAATTAAATGCATGTATTTCTTTTCACTTTTTTTTAATGTGATTACTAAAGTATTTGTTTAAAATATTTACTAAAACATGTGCCTTGCATATTAGTCTGTACTTTTAAAATATGACTACTAGAAAATTTTAAATTATATATGTAGCTTGAATTACAATTCTTTTGGACAGTGCTATTTTAATCCCAAGAACTTGATTAACTGCCCACTTCTAGGAACTTCATTTCTGCCCCATCTCTGCTCTAGACAGATAAGGAACACATAGGAGATACTGAATGATTTGGTCAATGCAAACATGGATACTGATATGACTTGACTGTGGCCCCACCCAAATCTCATCTTGAATTGCAGCACCCATAATTCCCACGTGTTGTGGGAGGGATCCAGTGGGAGACAATTGAATCATGGGGAAAATGTGGTAAGTTTCACAGGATCTGATTACTTCATAAAGGGTTTCCCCTTCCACTGGCATTCATTCACTCTTTGCCTGCCACCATGTAAGATGTGCCTTTCACCTTCAGCCATGATTGTGAGGCCTCCCCAGCTATGTGGAACTGTGAGTCCATTAAACCTCTTTTTCTTTATAAATTACCCAGTCTTAGGAATGTCTTTATTAGTAGCATGAAAATGGACTAATACAGATACAGATGGAGAAGACAGGGGTACTTAGGAATCTGGCTGGCTTCATCCCTCACTGGAATGGGAAAGACTGGGAAGCAGCTGTTGAATGGAACTCTGTTAGAAAGTTAGAGAATAACAAATGAGAATGTTCACATAATCTGAAAAAAATGAAAGAATTCCAAGTAGAGAGAAATTCCAACTTACATGAGCCATGATTTCAGAATTGCAGGAACTGGTCAATTTTCCTCAAGGTTCATTTACTTCAGAAGCAGGGTCCAGAGATGCTAGAGCTGGAGAAAGAACGTGTAAAATTATGAGAAGAAAATTGCCTCAGAGTTTCCAAATGTTAAAAACCAATACTACTTCTCTATTCCTAGATGCAACTCCCACCCTCAACACACAAATTTTGATAGGTAAGAAGTAGTTTAGACAAATATGTCCTCCCCAAAACCACAGAGAAGTCCGCTCAACTGCACAAGGAATTGCAGAGCAGAGACTCTGCAGCCTCAAAGCATATGTCTAGACACTAGAGTGGGAGGGCTTCCAGTTGGTCCCCAGCTGTGACCCAGGGCAGGCTGGTTTGGAACAAGAATGGGTTGTGCAGACCTGTCCTGAACTGATCCTCCTCCCTCCATCCCCACCTTCCCAGCTGAAAAGGGGCTATACCATCTAAACCAGAACTTCTTTCTTGGCCTTAGGAATCTGGCTGGCCTCCCCAAACATGAAGACAGAAAATAGCATAGACAAGAATTTCCCCAAACTTTGCTCAAATTGGAATCACCTGGATATCTTTAAACTGTTGCCTGGCTCCTGCCCTTAAACACACTGATTTAATTAGTGTGATGTGGGATTTAGGATTTTTTTTAACTACCTCCTCCTCTCATGGATGCTTACAATGGGCAACAAAGTTTGGCAGTCACACTTTAGTATGCATCAGAATCACGTGGAGGGCTTGTTAAAACACAGCTTGCTAGGTCTCACTCCCAGAGTTTGGTATTCAGCAGGTTTGGAATTGGGCTTGAAAATTTGCATTTCTAAAAAGTTTCCAAGTGATGCTGATGCTGCTGGTCCAGATGCCACACTTAGAGAACCACAGCTATACAACACCTGTAGAAAGGCTATATAGCAGGCTTTATTATGGCAAAGGTGCAAGTGCACATTGGGATCCCTTCCCCCAGTCTTAACTACCATTCTCAGAGCTCTCTGCTCCTTATTTTCCTATTCAGGATCATCAATACTGCTTGCATGATCTCAATTGCCAAGCAGTTTTTGTTGATACTCAGACTTAATGAAGTAAATTTGTGAAACCTGAGCATGAGTAATGTTCTAGAAGGTAGAAATAAGTTAGGTGCAGTGGCTCACGCCTGTAGTTCCAGAACTTCAGGATGCCCAGATAGGAGGATTGCTTAGTGCCAGGAATTGAAGACCATCCTGGACAACACAGTAAGATCCTGCCTCTAAAAAAAATTTCTTTTAATTAGCTGGGTGTGTTGGCACCTGTCTGTATCCCTAGGTACCTGGGAGACTGAGGCAGGAGAACTGTTTGAACCCAGGAGTTCAGAGCTTCAGTGAGCTATGCTCTTTCCACTACACTCCAGCCTGGGTGACAGAGTAAGACCCTGTCTCTTAAAAAAAAAGAACAAAATAGGAAAAAGAACCTATTAACTTATCAGTTAAAATCTACTAGTAACTAAGGAGAGCATATTGGAAGAACTAGATTAGCTGATTTGAAAAAGTTATTACACCTCATAGTTACTAAGGTGTTGGGGAAATGGATACTCAATGATGTAATGTAGAAAGAATGAAATAGCATGTGGATAGAAGTGTTTAAAATAGGACCAAAAAAGATGGCAAGAACCTAAATATCCTTCAGCAATGTTGAATAAATTATCATGCATTCACACAATGGAAAATTCAACAGCCAAGTGCAGTGGTTCACGCCTGTAATCCCAGCACTTTGGGAGGCCAAGGCAGGTGATCACTTAATAAGTCCAAGAGTTCGAGACCAGCCTGGCCAACATGGAAAAACCCTATCTCTACCAAAAATACAAAACATTAGCCAGGCACGGTCGTACACGCCTGTGGACCCAGCTCCCTGGGAGGCTGAGGTGGGAGGATTCCCTAAACCCAGGAGGTCGAGGCTGCAGTGGGCCCTGTTCATGCCACTGCACTCCAGCCTGGGCAACAGAGCAATACCCTGTCTTAAAAGAAAAATAAACACACGTTAAAAATGAAGATAAGATTCATATTTGATGTCATGAGAAGACAGCCCTACATATTGTTGGCGGAAGAAGATAGGTTAGAAAATCTTCTACATACAAAATACAAAATGATTGTATTTTGGCAGGAAAACTATATACACATGCATACATGTATATGCATGTGCATAAAACAATCTGTGTACTGGAATAAAATTTTATTGTTACCTCTACTTGATGGTATCCCAGTCCTAGGTGATCTTTATTTGTTCTTCTCTGGAGTCTTTTTTTTTTTTGAGATAGAGCTTCAGTATGACACACAGGCTGAAGTGCAATCTTGGATCTCCACTCACTGCGACCTCCATTTCCAGGGCTCAAGCAATCCTCCTACTTCAGCCTTCTGAGTAACTGGGACTAAAGGCACATGTCACTGCCCTGGCTAATTTTTGTAGTTTTTGCAGCCATGCAGTATGTTGCCTAGCCTGGTCTCAAACTCCTGGACTCAAGTGATCCACCTGCTTCCACCTCCCAAAGTGCCTGAATTTTTTAATTAAAAATTTATATCACTTATACCTCAACACAAATTCAAAATAGCTATGCAAGGAATATCACAAAAAGTTCCAACAGTCCCATCCCTGCTACTCTGCCCCTATCTTGAAAATCTAGAGGCAACAATTTTTACCTTTATTAGCTGCTCCTTTTGGTATTTAAACTCCATACATTTAAAAAACATGTTGGCCGGGCACGGTGGCTCATGCCTATAATCCAGCACTTTGGGAGGCTGAGGCAGGTGGATCACGAGGTCAAGAGATCGAGACTATCCTGGTCAACAAGGTGAAACCCCGTCTCTACTAAAAATACAAAAATTAGCTGGGCATGGTGGTGAGCGCCTGTAGTCCCAGCTACTCGGGAGGCTGAGGCAGGAGAATTGCTTGAACCCAGAAGGCGGAGGTTGGGATGGACCAAGATCGTGCCATTGCACTCCAGTCTGGGTAACAACAGTGAAACTCCGTCTCAAAAAAAAAAAAAAAAACAAAAACAATAAAAAACATGTTAATATTTCTATTTCTAAATTTTCAGTTGTAATCATTAATTCACTTTCTACTATAGTAGCCATGGTTTTAGCTATCTTTTACTTACCCACCTCCCAACCACATATACATAGTTGTAGTCCCCTTGTCTTTTCAATATGGTTTTATTCTTTTTTTTTTTTTTGAGACGGAGTTTCACTCTGTCACCCAGGCTGAAGTGCAGTTGCACAATCTTAGCTCACTGCAACTTCCGACTCCTGGGTTAAAGTGATGCTCCCGCTGCCTCAGCCTCCCAAGTAGCTGGAATTACAAGCATGCACCACCACGCCCAGCTAATTTTTGTATTTTTTGTAGAGATGGGATTTCGCCATGTTGGCCAGGGTGGTCTCAAACTCTTGGGCTCATGTGATCCACCAGCCTCAGCCTCCCAAACTGTGGGGATTATAGACGTGAGCCACTGCACCCAGCCTCAATATAGTTTTTTTCTATTTCAGGGTAAATCAGTTTTTAAATTTAGTTTATATTTTTGTGAATAAACACTGTTACCAACTGAACTATGTAGTATACTCAGGCTATTTTGACTTCTTTGCGTAAGACTTTTTCTTCTCTGAGATTAAAATAATCTTTTTTGTAAGTTTAGTTTTTTAAGAAATTATCATTAATTCATTTCCCCAAATCATGTAATTGAAGGATGAAGCTCCTGTTATAAAATAGCACAGCTAGCTGGACGTAGTGTCTCACACCTATAATCACAGCACTTTGGGAGGCCAAGGTGGGCAGATCACGAGGTCAGGAGATAAGACCATCTGGGCTAAAACAGTGAAACCCTGTCTCTACTAAAAATACAAAAAATTAGCCAAGCATGGTGGCACACGCCTGTAGTCCCAGCTAGTCAGGAGGCTGAGGCAGGAGAAACACTTGAACCTGGGAGGCAGAGGTTGCACTCCAGCCTGGGCAACAGAGCGAGACTCAATCTAAAAAAAAAAAAAAAAAAAAGTGAATAAAAAATAAAATCGCTCAGCTGTCTATTTTACATTCTAAGAACAAAAATCAATCCTTCAGAAATACAAATACTTCAAATACCTGTATCCCACCTGGCAAAAGTACATGCCACATTCCTAAATGTGCCTATCTCTGAAATTCATATGACTCTGAAATGAAAAGTTGATCCAGTCATAGGAGCCAGAAACCCTCCTGAAGAAATTGTTTGAGCAGTTTTGAATATTCCTGCCCAATAAGTGATTTCTTAAATACTTTACAAACATCCATAAAATCAAATACTAAGGTAATCTAAACACTAAATTTTAGAAACAGTTAAGGAAAATATTCAAGATACACTGAAAGAAAAAAACAGTTTACAGAACAATGTGTGATTAGATTTTTTAGATCATTAAATGGAAACAGACTTGAACAGATTAAAAAAATCTCTTAAAATTTCAATTCTGGAGAGACGATCCAAGATGGCCGATTGCTAACATCCCGGGATTGCAGCTCTCAGTGAAGGTGTGGAGAACTAGAGAATGCCACACTTTCAGACAAAGTCTGGTCGCTCACAGAGCAGAAGATCCCCAGTGAAGGAAACACACGGGTCGCCAGCGTGACTCTCGTGGCCGGCGCAGCGGTTCCGCTGGCACCTCGGCGCGGCAGCTCTCGGAGCAGAGTAAACACATTTGGAGGACCCGCACGGGCTCCCAGCACAATACCAGAGCCCGGCGCAGCGGCAGTGACGGCACCTTGGTGCGGCAGCGCTCAGCCACAGAGTAAACGGGACGGGTTCCCCTTCTGACCGCGGTTTGGAGCCCCGGGAAGGCAGAGTCGCCTACTACAGACACAAGAAGGAAGCCCGACAGGAGAATCCTGGGAAGAAAAGCACCATCAGTTTTAACTCCGCTGCTCTGGCCCTGGGAACTAACAACCTGGACGCCCACTCAAGAGACCTAATCTGAAAGTTGGTAAATTCAAAGAAGACAGGAGGATAAATTTACAATGACGGGAAGAAACCAGGGTAAAAAAGCTGAGAATACTCAAAGTCAGAACGCCTCTCCCTCTAAAGATGATCAC